GGCGGGGAGGGCCGGGGGGGGGGGAGCTGCGCCTCGCAGGGAGGGAGAGGCAGTCCAAGCAGGAAGGCGGATGGGCGCCTGCTCTCCTCGCCCGGGGGCTTGGGCGCGGTGGAGCCCCCCTCCACGTAGGGCTTCACCCCGCTGTGGTGGTCCCCCGGGATGGGCTGCATGCGAGGCGCCCCGGTGGAGAAGCGTCTGAGCCTGAGGATGGAGCGCCTCCTTGCCCAGAGGCGCGCCTTCTAGGGATGCCCAGAGGCACCGTGGAGAAGGGCAGCCGGCCGCCTGGGCCCTGTAGGAGGGCAGGGGGGGGGTTGCTTTTCCTGGACCCCGGCTCGGAAAGCTGCGGCAGGCACCGTGCCCTCTTGGCACCGCCCCGGCTTCTGTTCTGATGCGCCGGGCGCTCGCCCTCCGGAGCGCAGGAGATCCTCCTCCGGTTTGGTGCCACGGGCAGGGTGGGGCTTCGCCGAGCAGGTGGCCGGCCCAGGCGTTTATGTACGGGGAAGGGGGCGTTTGGAAAGGAGGGGCCCGTGGGTTTCTGAGCGCTGAGCTTTAGTGGTGCTCGTGAAAGCAAGGAAAGTGAAGAATAGGTGGCAAGGATGAAATTGTTTGGGCTGCAACACACACACCATGAGGGCACTAACACTATTTCGTTAATAGGGGGGGGGAACAATAACTTTGTTGTGCGGGTAAATAACAAGGTTACCGCTTATTCATTTGATATGAAAAATCAGATTAAAACAACGCCCACTCTGAAAGGAGCTTTATGTTTACAGCAACCCATTAAAATAGATCAAGATGAAAAGGTCCAAAGCCACCTAAGAGAGCTTCCTGGCTCAGCAGAGTTTGAACCCTGGCTGGAGATGCAGCAGACATCCCCAGAGCATGGACGGCTTCAAATGGGAATTAGATAGGCATATGGAGCAGAGGTCCATCCGTGGCTATTAGCCACAAGGTATAGATAGGGGCTCTGGGGCAAGTGATGCTCTGTCATCTTGGTGCTTGTGGGGGTCAACAGTGGGAGGACTTCTAATGTCCTGGCCCCACTGGTGGACCTCCTGATGGCACTGGTATTTCTGGCCATTGTGTAACACAGAGTGTTGGACCAGATGGGCCTTTGGCCTGATCCAACATTGCCGTTTCTAATGTTCTTAACCCAGGACTTGCTGCTATACCGTACCAGGTCTCTTGCCCTTAGAGAAAGCATTAGGTTTCCATTAGGAGGGCTAAAGACAGTGTGTATGTATGTATGCATGTTATGTGTAGGCATGGAGGGGGGACAGTTTCATCCCAGTTCCGTGAGAAGGAAAAGTTAATTCCAGGGCCAAACAAGTATGGTTTATGGATCTCTGGCTGTATCACTTACTTTTACGTATCTACAGATTTATCACAGCCAGCAACAAGTCACTCATTTCCAATTGTGCAGCTGGTATTTTTATTTATTTATTTACTGTAGTCTGCCTTTCTCACTGAAACTCAAGGTGGATTACCGTTTTCTAAAAAAATATGCAATAGGAGCAGTATAAGATCCACAATGAGATTGGATTGGATGACAATGAGCAAACTGAAGACCTGTCGATTATGGTGATAA